ACACACACACACACACACACACACACACACACACACACACACACACACACAAAAACCACTATTATTTACATATAAATCCAAATCCAACAAAGTTCATTTCCATGTGCAATGTTGGTAAAAGTGACATTGAAATGAACATTTCCAAGCGCTGTTTTGGGTCTAGACACCAGCAAAAACTTTCTAGACAGTACCTCAAAATTTTGTGTCAAATTTTTTTTTAAAAGTTCAGATATTTTGATGCAATAATTTTCCCCCTAATAATCTATCCTAAGAAAAAAACTCATAAAGATTAATAAAAATAAATGGAAGAAGATGTTCATTTCAGGGTCACTTACAAAATGAAAAACACCCTAAGTAAACATCCAAAATGTCCAACACACAGTAGGAAATCAGTTAAATAAATTATATAATTATAATGGGATACCGTTATTTAAAAACAAGTATATCTTGAAGTCAGTTTAATGACATAAAATGTTTTCTATACTAGAAACCGGAAGAGTCCAGGTAGTTTCCCTAGAGGGAACACAGCCCTTCTGACACCTGATGTTGGCCCCATGAGACTCATTTCAGGCTTCTGGCATCTTGTGAGAGAATAAATTTTTGTTGTTTTAAGCTGCTTACTTTGTGGCAATAGCAGGAAACCAAGGAGGCACAATTTATAACAAAAAAAAAAAAAGGTTTTCTATGTTACCAAATAAAAAACAGGCCCAAACATTTTCTAGGTATTATGCCAATCTTATTTTTTAGAACACACACACACACACACACACACACACACACACACACACACGCGTACTGAAAGGTTGAACAAAAATGTTAATTATAGCTATTTCCTGGTGGGAGAATCAGAAAAGGGCTTTTTGTAATCTTTGGTATTTTCCTAATAATCTACAAAAATCAATCATTCCTTTTGAAATCATCAAAAATCCAGTATGACTTAATAAAATACAGAATCCTAGTCATCTACAACAATCCATCATTACTTCTGAAATCCTATAATATCCAATATGGCTTAATAAAATACAGAATACATTTAAAAAATGTAACTTTAAACTGCTTAATGTCAAGAGATTTTTGAACTAACACACTGGATTAGTAGTCCAAAACATTACGCATCAGCCAAACTGATGACACTGGCCTTCCCAGTTGATCTTTTTAGGCTGAATCTACAGTAGACTCAGATTAATCAATCACATTTCCTACCCCCAGACTGGAGCAAAACTCTGATATCAATTTTTAAGTGTTTTATAGTTGTTCTTTTTTAATTTTCTGAACTTACAATGATGGAACCTACCGCATAATGGTAACAATCTGGGGGGTTTTCTGTGTTGCAGCAATTTCTCAGGAGATCTTTATATATTTGAACAACTCTTAAAAGCTGTGATATAGACAAGTCTGGATGTCTCCTCGAGTATTCAAAATTAAACCTGCAATGTGTAAAATATTTTTGCATATTAGAAATTAGAGAAAGAGCAAAAAGCCCAATTCCACTATTTTATAATCCAGTCAGATTTAATACTGACTCTGCTTTTGAAAGCTAATTTTCTACTCTGGTTTGGTCACAGAGTAATTTAAGAGGACATTTTGGCTACAGAAGATCATTTTATAAAAGTTCTCTTCCATGGTATATTTTAAACTAACAGTGTTTTTTACTTGGGAAGAGAGAATTAGTAGAGTTATTTAGAACTAATTATTGGAATGATTTGATCCATAAAACATGGGAAATAATATATTATGAAATAATTATGTTTGAAAATACATTCAGATTTCCAGGTTGGGATACTGGGAATATGGCTTCCTTTCACCCACAATGTGGTCTTGGTGAGAGACAGGGAGCAAGCTTTGCTCATTACTACATCCCGCCCCTTTTTTTTTCGGGATTTGAACTTCTCGATTAGTCTTGTTTTCTCTAATACCATCTACGCAGCTTCCCATTTGCTTTTCAGTTCAATTTGTGAGATATATTCCCATATCCCACGGCAGTAGTGCTTAACCTTCAGAGAATCAAGGCTCCTCTTAATATCTGATGTAAGCCATGGACTTCTTCTCAGGGGGGCAAACACACACACCTAAAAACATGTCTCAAATGCTGTGAAGAAAGATCCCTGGAAGCTTACTCGAGGCTGGAAAAGCCACTGAAGAAAACCTCAAACAGTTTTCTTCAAATATTTGACGGACTATCTCTCATGTGGCATAAAATTGGACATCTACTGAGTGGCCACCAGAAAGAGAACTAAACACAAGTGAATGGCTGCTATGGAGTAAATTGCATCTCCATAAAAAGAAAGAATTTGCTAGTGATATGATTAAATGCCTGAGATGTTCACATTCAGAAAGACTCTACCTTAAAACAGTGAGCACTCTGACTTGGCTTGCTCAGTTACTCTCTCATTTCTCCCCATGCTTCAAACACTTTTTATGTTGTAATAGTGATGATGATAAAAATGGTTTTTATCTGTCAAACACATATGTCAGGTACCATCTATCATTTTGTTTAATTGAACTTGATTTAATATCCACAACCGTGAGAAGTCAGAGAGGACAGTAGTTATAAGACCAGGAGTTTGGAGCCACATTGCTTGCACTTGAATCCTGGCTGTACCGCATGTGTGATTTTGGGTAAGTTACTTAACCTCTCTATACCTGTTTTATTACCTGAAAAATAAAGATTATAAAACCATACTATCAGAGGGTTGTTTTGAAAATTTGGTGGTTAGTAGATGAGAGGCACTTAAAATTTAGCAAAGTATTCAATAAACATTAGCTGTTATTATGTCCTAGATTTCAAGCCAAATTCCCTTCCAGAGCTCCATGTTCACATATAAAATTATCTCCTGATAGTCCCAATTACTTATTCTACTGGCACCTCAAAGTCAGCGTGCTCATACTTAAACATATTATCTTTCTCACAAAACCTGCTGTTTTTTTCACCTTGAATGGGAAAACTACCTACCCTGTTATCCAAGCCCCAAACTGGAATTTTCTCCAGATAAAGTTTCTAAAAACTAAAAGTGATTTTGTCCTTCCTTATTCTTCCACGAAAACCATTCAGTGGCATCCCATTACTTAGCATGTCTGCATGACATGGCCCCACCTGTCTCTCACCATCCTGGTCTCTCATTGCAGATACTCTGCCCACAGCCATATGCGCACCAAACCATTATACAGTTCACTTCATGCTCTACCTTCTCTATCTAGATTGCCAAAATTTCTTCAAGCACCATTTCCCTATCAAGCCTTTTCAGGATCGCCATATACAACTGACCATTCTTCTTCTGTTTCCCCACATTACCTAGAACAGGGTGCTATCAGAAATAACATTTTTTGCACTTATTTATTTATGTCTGACTCTTCTCACTTCATACTCTCTATAGATGAAGGCTTCCTGAAGATAAAAACCCAGCAAAGTTCCTGGATTATATTACATTGCCATAACTTTAAATTAATAGGTTTTTTCATTCATTTGTTTGTTTGTTTGAGACAGAGTCTTGCTTTGTCGCCCAGGCTGGAGTGCAGTGGCAGGATCTCAGCTCACAGCAATCTTCACCTCCCCAGCTCAAGCAATTCTCTGCCTCAGCCTCCCAAGTAGCTGGGATTCCTGATGAATAAGTATTCTTATACACATTTTATATATGACAAAGAAAGCACAGAAAGGTTAACTTGTCCCAGTGAGTAACAGAACTCAAAGATAGTCCCTGTGGCTCCAAGTTCACTAGTCTTCCCCTTAACTGTTATAGGTGGCATAGCATAGCAGTTAAGCTGGTAACTTGTTAAGCCAGGCCTCCTGGAGTGAAATTCTTACTCTGTCACATTTTAGCTGTGAATCTGAACAATTCACTTCATTATATCTCAGCTTGCTCATCTGAAAAATCGGGAGAAATTGTACTTATTTTGTATGATTGCTGTAAGAATTAAAATAGTTAAACTGTATAAAGTGTATAGTCCCATGCCTGGCACATATTAAAAGTGCTCAGTAAATGTTACCCATTATTTTATTAATATAGTTGTTTTTTCTTAAAATTATGTGAAAACACTATAGTCTATAATCATTATTTTTAAAAATTATACGATACCTAGTGAAATAAATGGTACCATTTCCTTTCACCTAAATTAGCCAACGTAAGTCAAATCTTATAAGTTTCTTTCTTTTTGCCTTATAAATTCAATAAAGAGTTACATTACTCAGCAAAGAAGGTGTCCGGGTCAGCATCTCGTTCTTGACACACATTTTCACTGTCAGTAAATTTTGCTTCTCTTGGAGATAAATCCTTTGGTCTATCATCTTTACTCGAGTTAATTATGCACTGGTCACGCTCTGGTATTTTCTTTTCACAGCACCCTTTGATTTTACTGGAGAGAGCATCTTGCTTTGAACAAATATGGTTCATAATCTTGCTCTGTACCAAATAAGAATGAGAGATTATTTTACTTTCAGAATTTCTTCAGGGCTGGGTTTTATTCCATAATAGAATGGTGGCATGCACAGTCAGTCATGAGCGCAGCATCTGAAATCACTTCATCAACTAATTTTATAGATAATATTCATTTAAATTTTGGATTTACTTAATGCACATGAAGTTTTACAATAAAACTTTATTTCTCAGGATTTAAGATGATGTCATTATTTTAAAATAGCCTCTACTACACATTTTCATCCATTATCAAGCATTGGTCTTTTAAATAACCCTCCTACACTGACACATTGACATCTTATATTCTAAATGTCATCTCTTTTCCATGAGAGTCCACCTATGCTTTCAGTGGAGACCACTGAAAAGACATGTTACTATAATACCTATAATCCTGGTCTTTTCTTGTGGCCAAGCACATGGCAAAAACTCAATAAATATTTGATAAGTGAATGAAAGAATGACAAGTGAATGAACTACAGCAACTACCAGATGTTGATTCATCAAATATATGAAGCTGTTCCACCCATGGTATCATTTCCTAATGTATATCATTCTCTGATGGATACCATTCATTTGAAGCTGTTCAGGTTAGCAAATATTGTTCAAGTATAAAACCTTACTCTGTCCCCATCCCTACCCTTTACTGCAGTTCTAACCTCTACATAAGAGTTGGGAATTAGAAAGAGGGTGTTGTTATCTTATTTATACATTAGTTGAATAATTTTTAAAAACTGATCTGGGCCCTTGCAGACTCTAGAATAAGACTGATCATTATCTCCACTCTCTGTTCCATTACCACTTGAACTATGTTGAGTTCCAGCAACACACCACACTGTTTCAAGCCATCATTACTTTACTCAAGCTATTTCCACTGACTGGAATCTTCTGGTGAACCCAGGGGATAAGTAGTAAGATGAAGCTCATGACTGAGGTTAAAAAAAAAGAAAATGAAATGGGGATTGGCAACATGTTTCCATCAAACCACATAGAACTTCAAAGCCAATCTTCAAAAAGATATTTGCATCTCATCTAATGCCATCATTGTTCTAGGCAAAGCATCTCTTATTCTGAGAAGTTACTTCTATTTTCAGTTAACTGTAATGCTGTTCCTCTTGTTTCTCCAGAAAGACATTAAAAAGAAGGAAATTTGAGACATAATACCTTAATCTCAGCCTCAAATTCCACAGAAAATCTATAATTATATCTTAATTCAATATATTAGATTTTAAATTATAGAACCTACATCACCATGAACAATCAAGCAATACAAAAATAAACCACAAAAGAGATTGCTTTAACTTGGGTACAGTTAGAAACAAAAATAATTATTGGGAGCATCTGTTGTCCATTGCTTAAATAACCAATTCTCAATACCCTAAAAGTCAAGTTATTTAATTGATGTGCTATCTTCACTGTGAGTCTAAAAGTCAAATCCCTTTCTTTCTTTTTCTTTCTTTCTTTCTTTCTTTTTCTTTCTTTCTTTCTTTCTTCTTTATTTCTTTCTCTTTCTTTTTCTTTCTTTCTTTTTCTTTTTCTTTCCTTCCTTCCTTTCTTTCTTTCTTCCTTTCTTTCTCTCTCCCTTCCTTCCCCTTTCCTTTCTTTCTTTCTCTTTCTTGTTTTCTTTCCTTCTTTCTTTCTTTTCTTCTTTCTTTCTTTCTCTCTCTCTCCCTCCCTTCCTTCCTTCCTTTCTTCCTTTCCCTCTTTCTTTTCTTTCTTTCTCTCTCCTTTCCTTCCTTCCTTTCTTCCTTTCCCTCTTTCTTTTCTCTCTCTTTCTTTCTTTCTTTCTCTCTCTCTCCTTTCCTTCCTTCCTTTCTCCCTTTCCTTCTTTTCTTCCTTCCTTCCTTCCTTTCCTTCTTTTCTTTCTTTCTCTCTTTCTTTCTTTCTTTCTTTCTTCTTTCTTTCAACAAGGTCTCATTCTGTTGCCAAGGCTGTTGGGATTATATCTCACTGTGCTGTATCCTCTAACTCCTGGACCCAAGCAAGCCTCCCTTCTTAGCTTCCTGAGTTCTGAGTAGCTGTAATTACAGGTGCAAGCTATCATACACTTATTTTTTTTATAAAATGTTATTATCTTTGAATGCATGAACAATTTTTTTAAGTTCTGGGATAGATGTGCAGAAAGTGCAGGTTACATATGTATACATGTGCCATAGTGGTTTGCTGCACCTATCAACCTATCACCTAAGTTTTAAGCCCCCATGCATTAGTTATTTTTCCTGATGCTCTCTCTTCACCCCCACAACCCAACAGGCCCAGGCATGTATTGCTCCCCTCCCTGCATCCATATGTTCTCAGTAGTCATCTCCCACTTAGGAGTGACAACAGAAAGCATGAACAATTAAAACTATGCCAAAAATATTTGTACCGATACATTTCCTTGGAGAATCATTTTAAAGGTTTCCAGAGGCTGGGGATTGAGGAGATGTTGGTTAAAGGACACAAAATTTTATTTAGACAGAAGGAATATATTCAAGAGATCCATTGTATATCATGGTGACTCAGTGATGAGTTCATACCACTATACTGAGTACTTTAAAATTGCTAAGATTTGGAGTATTCTCACCATAAATAAATAAGTATGTGAGGCAATGCATATCTTAGTTTGATTTAGACATTCCACAATATGTATATGTATATATTAATATATATGCCTATATATCATGATATATATACATACATATATATATCGTGTTGTCGTGTACCATGAGAATATACAATATTTAATTGCCCGTTAAAGGCAGGAAAGGAAAGGGAAAGTGGAAGGATAAGAAAGGGAAAAGGGAAGACAGAAGGCCAGAGAAAGGGAAGCAAAAGATAAAGGGAAAAGGACAGTTAAATTAATGTATCCACTTATTTGGAAAGGCTATACCTGAATAGCATAAGGAAGCTCAAGGAAATCAGCTCTTAAAAACATAATGATAACAGGTAATTCCCTGAGCTTCACTATAGGTTTCTAATCTCTCTGAAAGAGGACTTATAATGTAAGAGAAAACTTCAGTCTGGACTGAATAAACTTTGAAAATTTTGAAATTCTTGAAGTTTTACATCAAGAAATTTCGCCATATAACATACAATCTGCTGAGTAATCTTTAAAACTTCCAAGTATAAAAAAATCCAAAGATTTATTTGTAAAAATTTTATATTTTATTTTAGGATATCATTCAAAAGTTACTTCACATTCTGATTTCATTGTGGCGAAGTACTCACACATCAGGGCAACTTGAGAACAAAAAATACGGTTGCCAAAATCCCTATTTTAACTTGGTTTTAAAGAATATTTACCATGTGACGGATGCAATGCACAACATCCCCTTCACAGCATTCATCATAGTTGGAAGAAACATCTTCTATGAGAGAAATAAGCTCCTTAAATTCAATCTTGGGGAATTTTTGACTGAGTATCGCAATATTTCTGGAAAGAGAATTGATAATCCACAAAAATAATTTGAACAGTAAGTAGAGCAAGTGGGAGTAATTTGCTAATACCATGTGAATAGTTCCAAAGAGCATTGCCACTGTTGTTGTTGTTTTTATAGAAGTCTTTAGCAAACAGCTGGTGCACAGCCTACATGATCACTTTGAAAATCTTAGGCTGATATTTTAAGACCCCCAGAGTCCTGGATGTGAGCAAAAAACAAAACAAAACAAAAACCTGAGAAGTGTGCTTTCTTCCATAATTACTATATCAAGACATGCTGTGTAAGGCCACCACTTCCTACTCTAAGCTCATGGCAGCCACAGATAATTCAACTTGAAATCTCAAAATTTTTCTCAAGACATTGCCTTAGTACCCACTACTAATTAGTTAGGGTGAACACTAGAGATAAAATGTATCTTTGCAGGCTGTGTCATTATTAAAGTCAAAGGCCAAGGGATGAATTATTTCTAAAGCATGTATGAGTTTTAAAACCCTGGTTTGAAACTCCCAGACCAGTTCAGATTCCCAATTAACCTAAATATATCTCAGACACAGCCACCATTCTCCTTTGGGTCTCCCCACCTCCCAAAGCTTCTCTCATCTTGACCTAATGTCCTGGTTCTGAGCTATCCAAGTAGGCTCAGACCCACCTCAAGGCCCCTGGATACTAGGAAGAAAATAAAAGTCATCAACCATTTAACAAAAATGGGACACAGACAAGGAAATGCAAGCAGAGACAAGATATATAGCATAAAACTCACATAGAGTTAATGATTTTGGTTCCAAATTTCAAAAGTGCCCCACAGGCATTGTTTTGATAAGAAGAAAATGCTTTTAAATATTGCATGACAGGTACTGTCTGAAGAAGAAAGAGAAAATTCTTTTGAAACAGTGGCAAAATCTCACTATTCTCTTATTTTTAAATCACATTTCATTCAAACCATTACAAAGTTTGTTCAGAGAAAGAAAATCTACAGGATTTTTATTTCAATGAACACACATATTAAAGAAATATGCACTTATGGCACATCACAAAGGTAGGACCAGTCTTCCTGGTGATTGAATTGCAATTGGTAGAAAGGCGCATAGTGCTCCATGGTGAGGCAGCATGTTGTGAGCTTGGCCATCTCTACTGAGATTATTCCATTTCGTTTGTAGTCAAAAGACTAGAAATTATTAAAGATAAAAAGTAAAATGTTATCTTTCACCCAGGGCATTCAATCACCAGGGCTTCCTTCCAATTTATAAAGAAAACAAAGCCAGAAGAGAGACCCTGGAAATGACTGACTGTCTTTCAAGAGTCTCAGGTAAAGAGAATATTTACAGCAGCACCTGGTAACCAGTGGTTTGAAAATCATTGAATATGGCAAAAGAACATCATATACAGTAAGCAAGCCTTTTGCTATAAGGTAAGTCAACGTCTGGATCTGTGGTATTGAGTGATTCCTTTTCCTCTTCATTAAACAAATGCTATACCCACTCTTGTTTGAAAGCAGTTGACTTTGTTTTGTTCTTCACAACATGATTTAGCCACATCCCCAAAATGAGCAGCAACAGTTAGAAGTGTAGGGGCGAAGACAAACGGGTTCCTTCTGGCAACTTCATACACAAAGCTATAAAAAATAAAAATGAAAAAGAGAGAGAAGAAGGGAAAGGGAGAAACAGGAAAGCAATGAATGTAGACAAGGGAAGGGAGGGTAAGATGGGAAGGAAAAGAAAAGATAGAAAGAGACAAGAAAAGCAAGTTGTAAAACAAGGTAAAAGGAAGAAAGGTTTCCCCTTACAGAAAACTTCAATACAAGGCAGCTTCATCCAGTTCCTAATAAGAGTCCTTTGAAGTCCTTATCATTGAAATTGCTCACTTCAAAGAAAGAATGATGATTACAGTTCTAATCCTAAACACTGAGCTGTGGCTACTCTCCTTCCAGCCGCATGCTACTAGCTGGTCGGCAGTTATCTCTTCCATGTTCAAATAACAGCTATCAATATACACTCTATCTGAGATCCAGGGGTCCTATTTACTTTTGTTCAGATAAACTTGTGATTTAGATTTCAAGGTGCAAACCAACGTTCCAGAAAAAGTCTCTGCTTCTACAATGACTGCACTATTAAAAAACAGATGTTTTGCTAAGCATCCTATAATTGAGTGTCTGCCTAAGGGGAAAGCTGCAACTTCCCATTGGGAAGAATATATTATTTCCTCCACTGTGCATCCTAGCAATTTAACACCACATACACACCTCTGCTCTAGGACTTACCAATTAGAAGATACAATTCATTAATATAAGGGTCTTGTAAGCAGGGTCCGTATCTTGATCATAGTCATATCCTGAACACTGAGCACAGAATCTGACACACAGTATATTTTGAATGAATGAAACAATCAATCAATCAATTAATGAACCCAGCCATATTTCTTTGAGATAGGTATTAGATTCAGCCTAAGATTAATTCTTCAATTGAGTCATTTTTTACTAATATTAAACTTACTGATTTAGAAAGGATTCTTTGTTATTTTTAAAAGCCTGGCATTTCTCTTCAGGATCCAGGGTAGGGAAAGGAGGCAGAAATCCCACATCAGCTTTCTTGTTATAGAGAAAACAGAGTCTTCTTTCAGCATCAGCCTTACTGCAGCAGTGTGAAAAATTATGCTTTTGTGGTAGCCCCTCCATAGCACATATTGCTTCCTGTAAAACATTATTCTATACAACGGAGACGAAAAGGACACTTTTTAGTCATGGTAAAGTAAAGCTTCTGTACTCTCTAGAAAACACAATAAAAAATTTTCCCACCACTACCAGCAGAGCTGCTTCTCCTTCTCCTTCTCCTTCTCCTTCTGTTCTTCTCCTTCTTCTTCTTCTTTGGAATGGGGTCTTGATATGTTGTGCAGGCTAGATTTGAATTCCTTGGCTCAAGTGATCCTCCAGCCAAAGCCTCCTAAATAGCTGGGACTGCAAGTATGCCCCATTAAAGCATCTTTACCCAAATCCTTGACAACCATCCTGTTCTTTCAGAATCTTTGTTCATGTATCTTTTCACAAGACACTTTAACCTCTTACTCTTCCCTTGCTGCCTACCTTTCCCTTCTACCAGGCTTTTCTACCCATCTCCCAAGGTGGACATGCTGGCACGTTAATGTATTGGTAGAGTGTTTAGAAGTGCTGTTTAGTTGTAGTTTTTTTGGAGATGCAGATGGTGATTCTACTTGGAGGAAATCCAGAAAAGGGATGTGACAATAGAATACATATTGAGAGAAGCAGCTAAGGAGGGTGTCTCTTTACTTTCACATGCATTTTCAGTTATAGCTTCCTCCTCTGCCTGTATATACAGGGCATACCGTATACATACTGCGAATATACAGCAAGCTCCTTATGTGCATCATAATACAGAATTATTATCTTTCCTGAGGAAAGTACCTTGTTCTAAATACCAGTATTAGGCAAAACAAAAATGCTGTGCACAGAATATCTTTTATTTCCTATTTTCAAGCCAGAAATTAACTCAGTGTTGGGCAAATAATCTTGTGTGTTTAAGAAACACAAGAAATTGGCTGGGCACAGTGTGGCTCATGCCTTCAATCCCAACACTTTGGGAGGCCAAGGTGGGAGGATCACTTGAGGTTGGGAGTTCAAGACCAGCCTAGCCAACATGGCAAAACCCTATCTCTACTAAAAATACAAAAAATTAGCTGGGCATGGTGGTGCATGCCTGTAATCCCAGCTACTTGGGAGGCTGAGGCATGAGAATTCTTGAACCCAGGAGGTGGAGTGAGCCAAGATTGCCACTGCACTCCAGCCTAGGTGACAGAGCAAGACTCTGTCTCAAAAAAAAAAGAAAAAAATACATAAAAGCAAAAAGGAAAAGAAACACAAGCAATTTACTTACAGGTAATTTTGAACACTTTGGGAGCATGCTGTTAGCCATACAGCTGTCTTTGTATTCTACCATGTCTTTAACCAGCTTTTCCATTTCTTCAAAGGGTGCTTCCTGAACATACTGAGCAAAGGTAATGATGGTGCTGCAACAGTTCACATAAGGCATACAAAGATCAGTTGCAGAGTTTCTATTTATGGCTAAGAAAAGTCACAGGAAAATCCTGAATAGCCTCAGGATATTACCTACTGTGATGGCTATAAATTTTACAACTTGAGGCTTTACCTGAATTTTATAATTAATGTTGTCTTTACTTCTTGGATATGATTTATATTTAGTTAAATTACTTTTGAGAAGCATTAACATTTATAGAATGTATCGGATTATTTTAAAAAAATCATCAAAAAGTATTTAGCACAACTCACATGTATTCAACATTCTCTTCTATAAATTTCTGAGTGATATTGAAGTTATCTGAAAGGCAAGAATATTTAGGTTATTACATAGCATGGTTTTCTAATATTTTTCAAATAAGAAACAATGCATGGCATTTAAGTGTATAAAATACAAAATAGACCACTGATGACAGGAGATAACTTTGCATATTTAACAAGAAACAAATAAGTCATATGAACAAAACAGGAAATGCTAATCACTGTTGATTATGTGTTCAAGAAATACTTACTAAATTGAATTGACCTAAATACATCTTAATCTGACTAGACTTTAAATTTGCCATTGATGGCTCCCCAGATAGAAATGTCAAATACATTACCATGCTAAATGTCTATCATTTATGACTAGAGAAGTGATATGAAAAGTAACTAATGGGTGATGCAATGCCATTACAGCGCCTGATGAGAGATGCTGTAGCATGCTGGTGGTCAGCATAGTTTATAGCACAACTCAGTCATAGATATTTAAGTCATCTCCAGGCCCACCTAAAATCATGGATTCCTCCCAAATGAACATATACTAATTGAAGTATATTTATATTTGTTCACATAAACTACATTTTTTTTTGCAAAGTGTTGTGCTGGACCCTATGAAGCAATCAACAATGGCTAAAATATCTCCCCTTGAAATCAGGTTCCTAAGCAGTCTTTAGTGGAAGTTACTCATGCATGTGACAATAATCTAATTTAGAATGTGATTAAGTTGGAAATGTTTTATAAATCCTGGGTGAAAAAGAAAAAAGTATTATAGGAGGAGTGACATATGAGTTGAGCATGAGTAAATATAAGAGATTCGGCTAGCAGAAAAATGAAGAACTCTGTCTGTCTGCATGGAGAGAGAATGATGTGAGTAAAAGCGTTAAGGTAAGAAATCTTAAGAAGTATTTAGGGAGAGTCAATCTATTTTTATAAGAAAGTGGGTCATAAAAAGGAATAATGGGACCTAGAATAGAAAGGACCTGGGTCCAGATTATAGGAGTCTTGCATATAAAGAGGGGAGTGGGTTTCATTTGGAAGGCATGGAGAGCCCTGGAAAATGTTTATATAGGATAGAAATCTGATCATTTCTATACACTAAGAAATACGAGTCAGGTCGTGGTTTATCTAATGTCATGGAACTTTCCACAGTGCCTGACAAATAGAAAAAGGTAAGAAATAAATTGTCAAATAAATGGGCAAATGAAGGGTGGATGGGACAAAAAAAAGAAGGCCCTAGGAGACTTTTGCAACAGTCACACTGAGAAATCAGAAAGATCTAAATTTTGATAGGGGTCATGAAAATGAAAAGGAAAACTTGGATACAAGATATGTTAAAGAGGCAAAAATCAAGATTTTGAAACAGGTTGTTACAAAGGAAAAGGAGCAGGAAAATTAAAAAATGACCACTCTTCAAGCCTGTCTCACTAGCGGGTATTGTAGGGGTATATCAAATTGAATAAGACACTATCCATGCCTTCAGGGCCACTACCATGCTTAGGGCATGTTTGTTAAGTCAAAGAAAGGAATTCCTTCTAGGCCAAAAGATTAGAAAAAGACGGCTACTCTAGACAGATGAGGTTCAAAATATTCCCTTTGGATGGAAGAAATAAAAAAAAGTTATCCCTTCCTCCAGACTGAGATGGCCTTGGACAGTCTCAGGATAAATGTTCAAACTGTACAGTTGAAGCAGGAACTAGGTTCTGCGTTCCATAAATATATAGCTGGGAAACATGTTGGACAACTGAAAGTTCCAGAAAAATCCCAGTTTATACCTATTGTTTCACTGTTACCATCATTGCAAGAAATACCAATATTAGAATCCAGATTATGTCTCCCAGCAACACTTTCTGTCCTGTCATAGATTGCTGATTATTTTTCAGATATGACAACTGTTTCTTCATAGAGACTTGGTAATATGACCATCAAAGTACAAATTCTGAAAAAGTTAGTTCGGGACAACTGGTTAGTCTATATAAATTAGTGACAGGGTGAAAAAAAAAAAGCAAGTCAAGAATTAACTTGAAAGAAAACAAAATTTTAAAAATAGAAATTATCCTAACTGGTCATGCTTTAGCTAATATCCAAATAAATTTCTTACCTAGATCCTGAAGTTCTGTGGGCAGCATTAGGGATTCAGTCAAAAAAAACAAGAAAAAAATAAAACCTGTAAGTTTTAATTGTTTCATCTTTTTAGAAACCACATTTACAAAAGAAAGTAATGTTGTTGAGGAAATCAAGTTTTTATATTCTTTCACATTATCAGTAAAATTGTAACCTATTTAATCTTTTTCTGAAATACTGAGTATTTGATATTTTTGATCACTCTGCAGAATTTCTTGCTAATTATTACCCAGAAAAAAATTATCTTTGTATTTAACTGGAAAAATCTATTGAGTTGGAACAAAAGTCCACAGGCTAAGTAGGCACAATACCTAATCAAATAAACAACCAAAAAAAAAATCTTAAGATATTGCAAATATTAAAGAAAAAGGGCTAAAACAGATATAATCCAGCAAGCTATCATATGCATATATATCCAAAGGAAGTAAAATCAGTATCTCAAAGGTATAAATATATACACCTACTATGTACCCACAAAAATTAAAAATAAAAAATTAAGAAGATATACTGCACTCCCATGTTTATTACTGCATTATTCACAATAGCCAAGATATGAAAACAACTTGTCAGTAAATGTATAAATAAATAAATAAATAAACCACACAAACATGCACACAATGAAATACTATTTAATCTTTAAAAAGAAGGAAAATGTGTCTATGAGACAACATAAATGAATCTGGAGGACATCATGTTAAGTGAAATAAATCAGACACAGAAAGAGGAGCACTGTATAATCTTACTTATATGTGGAATCCAAATATCAAACTAGAAACAGCATAAAATGGTGGTTATCAAGGGTAAGAGGTAGAGGAAATAAGGAGATGCTGGTCAAAGGGTTCAAAGTTTCAGTTGTGTAGAATGAATAAGTTCGAATGTGCAGCACAGGGACTATAGCTAATAATACTGTACTGTATACTTAGAATATGCTAAGGGACTGTCTCTTAAGTATTCACACTGTCTTAAAAGGAAAAAAAACAGGTAACTGGCTCACACCTGTAATACTAGCACTTTGGGAAGCTGAGGTGGGTGGATCTCTTGAGGCCAGGAGTTCCAGACCATCCTGGGCCAACACAGCAAAATTAGAAAAAAGCTCTTTCTCTATAAAAATTAGAAAAAAAATTAGCTAGGAGTGGTGATGTGCACCCAGCTACCTAGGTGGCTGAGACACAAGAATCACTTAAACCCAGGAGGCAGAGGTTGCAGGGAACTGAGATCACACACTCCAGTCTGGGCAAAAGAGCAAGACTCTGTCTCAAAAAATAAATAAATAAAATAACTATGTCAAGAGATGGATATGTTGATTAGCTTTACTGTAGTACTCAAGTCACTATGTATGTGTATTCAGAACATCACATTGCAAACTTTAAATATATATTTTTTACTAATTTTTTTTTGAGACAGAGTCTCATTCTATGGCCCAGGCTGGAGTGCAGTGGTGCAATCTCGGCTCACAGCAACCTGCCCCTCCAGAGTTCAAGCAATGCTCCTGGCTCAGCCTCCTGAGTATCTGGGATTACAGACACATACCACCACTCGGCTAATTTTTGTATTTTTAGTAGAGACAGAGTTTCACCATGTTGGTCAGGCTGGTCTCAAACTCCTAACCTCATAATCTGCCAGCTTCAGCCTCCCAAAGTGCTGGGATTACAGGTGTGAGCCACCATGCCCAGCCTTTAAAGGGAAGAGTTTTTTAAAAAGCAATGGAAGCCAATGAGACAACTTGACAAAACAAATAATTACTGGAATATGATACACTATTTTTTATTAATGAATCTATGCCAATATAAAATTTAAATTAAAAATGGGGAAAAGGAAAGCTGTTCTCTACAGAAGAATGCCAACAAATCAATCTAGTAAGAAGCAAAGCATAAACATTTGTAACCACCATACCTATAGCTGATTTAGGCCAGTTTCATGAATGCATGATAAAGTCATTGGTGAAAATTTATTGAGCAATAGCATTTTTATACTTTCAAAATATCACTTCACAGGTTACTTATTAATTCCAAAGGGCAAAAGACACATTTGCAGGTGAATACATAAACAATGATATAGTCACTCTATGGATTATTATTTACCTTTAAAACTAATGAATATTAAAAATATGTAATATTGGGAAATATTTACTAAATGACTTTTGGTAAAAGAGTGGAATGTAAAATTTTATATGTTATCTGTAGAAAATGGCAGAGTGAACAGATTCACTAAACCAAAGTAAGGGAGGGAGAGAGATAAGAGAGAAACAGAAAGGGAGATTGAGAGATTGATTTTGTCTCCAAACAGAATGATGCAACTGTATGATCAGTATCTTTGGTGGCAGCTGGTGAATAGTCCTAATTGTGCTGACCTCTCATTGTTGCCTCTGTTCTAATTGGTTTTTTTGTCAAATGATTAAAAAGACAAAACTGTTGCTAAGTATATTCAAAATTAGTCAGAGATCCATTCACTTTTCATTTTCTGCTCAGATATGTTACTTCTTATTTCCAATTACTGGTTCACATCTGGCAACTAAAAAATAACTCTAATTCATCCATTCCACAAATTTAGTCCTCCCTACCATTAAAAAGCATGAGATATTTTTATGGCCACGTGAAGTGAAATAGCAGCCTGTGCCTACTTAGAAACTGAAAGTATCTAAGCTAATTTTCTTCCTGGTTATTTTATATTTGCCTCAAATGATCTAATTACTGGCTTCTTCATTAATGAGTAAGGTATTTTGAAATTTTCTCCAGTAAATACACCAAATAAATTTTACTTCAACAATATAAATGCACACATATGTATTCAGATACTGAAGAAATAAAAACAGAGAGGAAGCCAGTAGTATATGAAAAGCTTGAGAAAATCCTGGAAACTATAAAACAGATGGAATTAAATTAATGGAAAAAATAGAGGTAAGAGAGAACTTCAACTCAAACCCTGGGAGATGACATCAATTCTTCCCAAGAGCATTCCAGAACTGTTTCAAATCTAAAGAATATAAAGAGCAGATATGGGCCATGGGGAAATAATCAGGAGAAGAATATAAAACGTTACATTCTGAACAGTTGAATTAGAACAGGACATTACTTCCTTTTCTCTCTCCCTACCACCACACACAAATGTATAAAATACTTGGGTAACAATGTTTGATATCTTTTACATCTAGGTCAAAATCCAAAAATGACTCTTTCTTAGTTTGGATTTCTCAAAAGCAGACCTCTAGGGAAAGACTTGTACTTTATTTGGAAGGCAACTGGAGGAGGCACAGTGAGGAAGGACCAAAAAGGGAGAAAAGCAACCAATAATTCAAGTGTTAATGAGAACAGTAATAGTGTAGGCAACTGGAGCATAAGCCTGTTCAGAACTATGTGGGAAGTGGAAGATGCCCTAGAATCATCCTGACAGAGGACTGAAAGACTGGGCCATTATTCCATTGACTAAAGACTACATAGGCAAGAATAATAATCAAGACCAATCAGATATACATGAGCAAAAATAATAATAATTCATGATTATCCATAATTCAGAGGAAAAAAAGAAAGCTATTGAGGCATGGGGCTGTGCAAAGCAGCACTATCATATAAAACACATTCTAAAAACATCATAATAGCTAAAACAGTGTGATGACATTGGCAATATGCAGATACAACAAAATGAAAGTCTAAACTTTGATCCAAATTTTAGTCTGTCTGTATGGTAATATAATTCTGAAAAAAATCAGAAATCCAAATGTAGAAAATTTTAAAAGGAGAGAAATTATAAAAGTATTATAAGAAACACAAGTGATGGGGGAAAACTTTCCTAATTATAATGCAAAATAAATTCAACTACATAAAAAAAAATTTTAAAGATTTTGCATGAAGACTTAGCTGGTCAAGACATCCTACTAGACACAGTCAGGTGGAACAGCTGCCACTGAGGAACTGAGATGACTGGCACACCCATAACAGATCTTCAGGAGGAAGGCACTGAGAGTGGACAGAGGAAAGACACAGAAGCTGGGCTGAAGTGAGAGGAAGCTAAGAACCTGTATGGGGTTGCCATGCACTGGGGTTCACTGCCATTTCTCAACAACTCTAGGGGAGTGGGTGAGTTGAACTGGCAAGGAACAACTGCTTTGAACACAGGCCTCAGGAATCCTGACACAGGAGACGCCTCAACCACCATATACACGCGAGTTGGCAGAAAGAGCTGCTTAGAGAAGTGGTAGGAATAGCACACCAATCACTTTGGCCTACACACCAGCACAACAGCCGATGTGTAGGCCAAAGGGATTGGTAAAGAAGGATCTGGAATAGAACACAGCCAAAGATGTCCATCCCCTCAGGCTTCACTTGCTCCCATAGGAGACTTTATCTCTAGGGGAACTGTAGGACCTAAACTATACAAGGTGATCTTGCCCATCGGACAGGGCTGGTCTGACCTGAGCACTCCTTGGTCTGCTGGGCAAGCTCCAGTGCCCTGGGGCCCACATCATAGCTCCTGCACTGGCAAACCATGCCTAACTGGCAGAAAGCTCCAGCAGGGCAGCCACCATGGCCATGCACCAGCCTGCCTGCTCCCTCTCCACACTGTGGCATCCCTCAGACACACAGAAACCCCCCAACCACCACCTGAACCACTTTGCAGGCACATGTGCACTGTAGTTTTTGCCTTCCCGGATCTGCAAGTGTGCATGTGCATATGCCCTATCTTGCCACTGCTGCAGTGGGGATATGCACTTTATCTCCCCTCATCCCACCAAACGGGCATTGCAGTTAGAACCTTGGTGGGCACAGAGCCAGACAGCACTACACCCTCCAGCACCATTCCCTTGCACAAACAGCCACAGGAGTGAATCTAGGCACAGAGAACAGCAGACCCTCCTCTACTCTGAGCAACCACCCCTGTCTGTGGCTCATAGAGAGCACAAACGGAACTGCACCTACCAGTGCCCTGCCTTCCTACCAACACCACCACCAGTAGAACCATGTGCACAGTAAGCATCAGGGGTCCTCCACCCTCCCCAAGCCACCCTGCTTCTGTCACTGTGGTGAATGTCCACACCCTACTACAGCTGACAAGTGTGCACCCCACAGTGCTGACATGCTGCTGCTGCCACTGCTGCTGGCATGTATGAATTAAGACAGATCCTAGGCCAGACATAGTGGCTCAAGCCTGTAATCCCAGCACTTTGGGAGGCCAAGGGCAGATCACCTGAGGTCAGGAGTTCAAGATCAGCCTGGCCAACCTGGCAAAACTCCATCTCTACTAAAAATACAAAAAAAAACTAGCCAGGTGTGGTGGCCTGTGCCTTTAATCCCAGCTACTCAGGAGGGCTGGAGAATCACTTGAACTTGAGGGGTGGAGGCTGCGGTGAGCCAAGATCATGCCACTGCACTCTAGCCTGGGTGACAGAATGAGACTCTGTCTCAAAAAGAAAAAAAGAGAAGACAGATCCTGATGCCATCACACTACAAACCACTTTATGCTGCTGGCATGAGTGAATTAAGACAGATCCTAATGCCACTACACTACAAAACAGTTTGGCTGATACCACTTGATCACTTGATATGGTTTGGTTCTGTGTCCCCACCTAAACCTTACCTTGAATTGTAATCCCTATAATCCCTACATGTCAACAGGGTGAAATGGAGGGGTACCAGGTGGAGGTAATTGGATCATGGGAGTGGTTTCCCCATGCTGTTCTCATGATAATGAGTGAGTCTTTCACGAGATCTGACGGTTTTATAAATGCCTGGCATTTACCCTGCTTGTACTCACTCTTTCCTGCTGCCCTGTGAAGAAGGTACCTGCTACTCCTTTGCCTTCCACCATGATTGTAAGATTCCTGAGGCCACCCCAGCCATGTGGAACTGTGAGGCAATTTAATCTCCTTCCTTAATAAATTACCCACTCTCAGATATTACTTCACAGCAGTGTAAGAATGGACTAATACAGTAAATTGGTACAGCAGAGAGTGGGGTACTGCTATAAAAATACCCGAAAATGTGGAAGTGACTTTGGAACTGGATAACAGGTAGTGGGTAGAACAGTTTGAAGGGCTCAGAAGAAGACAGGAAGATGTGGGAAGGTTTGGAACTTCATAGATACCTGTTGAATGGCTTTAACCAAAATGCTGATAATTACATGGAAAATGAAGTCTAGGCTGAGGTGGTCTCAGATGGAGATGAAAAACTTCCTGAGAACTGGAAAAATGGTGACTCTTGTTATGCTTTAGCAAAGAGACTGATGGCATTTTGCCCCTGCCTTAGAGACCAGTGGAACTTTGAACTTGAAAGAGATGATTTAGGGTGTCTGGCAGAAGAAATTTCTAAGCAGCAAAGCATTCAAGAGGTGACAGAGCATAAAAGTTTTGAAAATTTGCAACCTGATGATATGGCAGAAAAAAAAAAAAAAAAAAACATTTTCTGAGACAAAATTTAAGCCAGCTGCAGAAATTTGCATAAGTAACGAAGGGCTGAATCTTAATTGCCAAAACAATGGGAAAATGTCTCCAGGGCATGTCAGAGACTTTCCTGGCAGTCCTTCTCATCACAGGCCCAGAGGCTTTGGAGGGAAAAATGGTTTCATGGGCTGGGTCCAGGGCCCCTCTGCTGTGTGCAGCCTCAGGATTTGGTGCCCTACTTCCCAGTTACTCCAGCCATGGCTAAAAGGGGACAGTATACATCTCTTGTCATTGTTTCAAGGGTGTAAACCTCAAGCCTTGGCACCTTCCATGTGTTGTTGGTCCTGTGAGTACACAGAAGTCAAGCATTGAGGTTTGGGAACCTCCACCTAAATTTCAGAGGAGTATGAAATGCCTGATGTCCAAGAAAAGTTTGCTGCAGGGATGGAAGCCACGTGGAGAACCTCTTACAGGGAAGTGCTGAAAAAAATGCGGAGCTGGAGCTACCACACAAGAGTCCCCACTGGGCACTGCCTAGTGGAGCTATGAGAATAGGGTCACCAACCTTCAGATTGCAGAATGGTAGATCCACCAACAACCTGCATTGTGCACCTGGAAAAGCCACAGACACTCAATACCAGCCCATGAAAGCAGCCAGGAGGGGAGCTATACCCCGTAAAGCCACCGAGGTAAAGCTTTTCAAGGCCATGGGAGCCCACCTCTTGCATCAGCATGACTTGGATGTCAGACATGGAGTCAAAGGAAATCATTTTGGAACTTTAGGGTTTAATGACTGCCCTATTGGATTTTGGACTTGCATGGGGCTTGTAGCCCTTTTTTTTTGGCCTATTTCTCCCATTTGGAATGGCTGTATTTACCCAATGCCTGTACCTCCTTTGTATCTAAAAAGCAACTAGCTTACTTTTGATTTTACAGGCTCATACATGGAAGGAACTTACATTGTATCAGATAAGACTTTGAGCTTGGACTTTTGCAGTAATGCTGGGATAAGTTAAAACTTTGGGAGACTACTGGAAGGACATGGTTGTGTTTTGAAATATAAGGACTGGAGATTTTGGAGGGACCAGGGATAGAATGATATGGTTTGGCTCTGTGTCCCCACCAAAATTTCACCTTGAACTGTAATCTCTAGAATCTCCATGTGTGAAGGGCGGGACTAGGTGGAGGTAATTGAATCTTGGGGGTGGTTTTCTCCAAGCTGTTCTTGGGCTAAGAAGTGAGTCTCACAAAATGTGATGGTTTCATATAGGCATCTGGCATTTTCCCTGCTTGTACTCACTTCATCCTGCCGCCCTGTGAAAAAGGTGCCTGCTTCTTCTTTGCCTTCCACCATGATTGTGAGTTTCCTGGGGCCTCCCCAGCCATGCAGAACTTTGAGTCAATTAAACTTTGAATCTTTCCTTTATAAATTACCCAGTCTTGGGTATTTTTTCATAGCAGTGTGAGAATGGAGTAAGACACACCCATATGAATGCAGTGAACATCAATCCAGAAGCACCTCAGCCCTTCACAGCACAATAGATTCCTTACCTTGAAGAGCCAGAGGATGAGGCCAGGGCCTGATACAAACCCCCAGAATTAGAGCACACACTCCAGGAGCTGGGAGCTGAGTGTTGCCCTCTAAAATCTTCCATAAATGAAGCAAGTCAGCTGAATCTACTTTATGCCACAATCAAACCCTCAAGGTCATCAAACGGGTTAACAGAAAAAAGAAACCCAAGCAAAGGTCAGAACTTCAAAGATTGAAGAACCACCACCACACAAAGATAAATAAAAGAACCTGCGCAAGAACTCTAACAATTAAAATACACAGAGGGCCTTCTTTCCTCCAAATGACTGCACTACCTCTCCACCAAGTGTTCTGAACTGGTCAGAGATGGCAAAAATAACAGAAGTAGGATTCAGAATATGAACAGAAGGAAAGATCATTGAGATGCAAGAGATGATGAAACTCAATCCAAGAAAACTAAGAAGCATAATAAAATGATACTGGTGCTAACAGACAAAATAGCCAGTATAAAAAGAATGTAACTGCCATTATAAAGCTGAAAACCACACTAGAAGAATTTTGTAATGAGTTCACAAGTATTAATAGCAGAAAAGACCAACCAGAGGAAAAAAATCTCAGAGCTTAAAGACTGGCTTTCTGAAATAAGACAGTCAGACAAGAATAGAGAAAGAAGAATGAAAGGTAACGAACAAACCTCTAAGAAACATGGTTATATAAAAAGACCAAATCTATGACTCATTTATGTTCCTGAAAGAGATGGGGAGAAACATGGTTATGTAAAAAGACCAAATGTATGACTCATTCATGTTTCTGAAAGAGATGGGGAGATTATAAGCAACTTGGAAAACAAATTGCTGGATATCATCCATGAGAACGTCCCCAACCTAGCTAAAGAAGACAACATTTAAATTCAAAAAATGCAGAGGACCCCAGTAAGATACTCCCCAAGAAGATAATCCCCAAAACTGATAATCATTGGATTCTCTAAGATTGAAATGAAAGAAAAAATGTTAAAGGCAGCTAGACAGAAAGGGCAGATCACCTATAAAGGGAAGCCCATCAGACTAATAGCTGATCCATCAGCAGAAAGGATCAGAAGAGATTGGGAGAAGATCCCTTCAACAAGTCAGAAGAGATTGGGAGCTAATATTCAACATTCTTAAATTTTAAAAAACTCCAACCCAAAATTTTATATCCAGCCAAACTAAGGTTCATAAGCAAAGGAGAAATAAGATCATTTTCAGACAAGAAATGCCGTGAAAATTTGTTACCACTTTACAAGAGCTCCTGAAGAAAGGAGAATTTCTTTACAAGAGCTCCTGAAGAAAGCACTAAATATGGAAAGGAAAGACGATTACCAGCCACTATTAAACACACACACACACACACACACACACACACACAGACACACACACACACACACACACAAAATACAGAGACTAAGAACACTATAAAGCAACCACCTAAACAAATCTGCAAAATAACCAGCTAATATCATGATGACAGGATCAAATCTGCACATAGCAATACTTACTTTGAATGTAAACAGGCTACATGACCCAATTAACAGGTAGGTACAGGATGTAGAGCTGGATAAAGAACCAAGGCAATTGGTATGCTGTCTTTAAGAGATCTGTCTCACATGCAATGACACACATGGGCTCAAAAGGAAGGGATAAAGAAAAATCTACCAAGCAAATGGAAAACACAAAAAAAATCATGGGTTGCAATCCTAATTTCAGACAAAACAGACTTTAAACTAACAAAGAAAAAAAAAAAAAAACAAAGAAGGGCATTACATAATGGCAAAAGATTCAATTCAACAAGAATATCCAACCATCCTAAATATATAGATGCATCCAACACAAGAGCACTTAGATTCATAAAACAAGTTCTTATTACCTTCAAAGAGTTGCAGGCAATAACAGTGGGAGACTTTACCACTCTTCCACTGACAGTATTAGACAGATCATCAATGCAGAAAACTAACAAAGGTATTCAGGACCTGAACTCAGCCCTGGATCAAATGGATCTGATAGACATCTACAGAGCTCTCCACCCTAAAAGAACAGAATATACATTCTTACCACCACATGGGGCACATACTCTAAAATCAGCCACATAATCTAACACAAAATACTGCTCAACAAATGCAAAGAACTGAAATCATAACAACCACTCTCTCTGACACAGCACTTTCAATTAGAAATTGGGACTAAGAAATTCAGTCAAAACCATGCAATTACATAGAAATTGAATAACCTGCTCCTGAATGACTTTTGGATAAATGGAGGCAGAAGTTAAGGCAGAAATCAATAAGTTATTTGAAACTTATGAAAACAGAGATATAACATACCAGAATATCTGGACCAGAGCTAAGGTATTAAGAGGAAATTTTATAGCACAAAAATGACCACATTAAAAAATTAGAAAGATCTCAATTTAACAACCTAACAGCACAACTAAAAGAACTAAAGAATCAAGAGCAAACCAACCCCAAAGCTAGCAGAAGACAAGAAATAACCAAATTAAAGCTGAACTGAAGGAGATTGAAACATGAAAAACTGTTTAAAATATCAATGATCCCAGGAGTCTATTTTCTGAAAAATGTAATAAAATAGACCACTAACTACACTAATAAAGGGAAAAAAAGAGAATGTCCAAATAAACATGGTTAGAAACAACAAAGGTGATATTATCACTGACTCCACAGAAATACAAATAAATCTCAGAAAATATTATGAACACCTCTATGCACACAAACTAGAAAATCTAGAAAAACAGGATAAACTCCTGGAAACATACAGTCTCCAAAGACTGAGACAGGAAGAAATTGAATCCCTGAACAGAACAATAATGAGCTTCAAAATTCAATCAGTAGTAAATAGCCTACCAACAAAAAACAGCCCAGTACCAGACAGACTCACAGCCAATTTCTACCAGATGTACAAGGAAGAGGACTCCTATCTAACTCATTCTATGAGGCCAGCATCAACCTGCTTGCAAAACCTGGCAGAGACACAAGAACAAAAACAACAAAAACTTCAGGCCAGTATCCTTAATGAACATCAATGCAACAATCCTCAACGTAGTCCTGGCAAACTGAATCCAGTAGCATGTCAAAAAGCTTATTCAGCACAATCAAGCAGGCTTTATTCCTGGGATAAAAGTTTAGTTCAACTTACAAAAATCAACAAATATGATTCATCATATAAACAGAACTAAAGACAAAAACAACATGATTATCTCAGTAATGCAGAAAAGGCTTCTGATAAAATTTAACACTCCTTTTTGTTAAAAACTCTCAGTAAACTAGGTATCTAAGGAACATACCTCAAGATAATAAGAGCCATCTATGACAAACCCACAACCAACATCATACTGAATGAACAAATGTTGGGCATGTTCTCCTTGAAAACCTGCACAAGACAAGGATGCCCTCTTTTACCACTCCTATTCAATATAGTATTGGAAGTCCTGGCCAGAGCAATCAGGCAAGAGAAAAAAAATAAATGTCCAAATGGAAAGAGAGGAAGTCAAACTATCCCTGTTTGCAGATAACATGGTCCTCTATCTAGGAAGGACTATAGTGTCAACCCAAAAGCTCCTTCAGCTGATAAACAAGTTCAGCAAAATCTCAGGGTACAATATCAATGTGCAAAAATCACTAGCATTTCTATACAACAACAGTAGTCAAGCTGACAGGCAAATCAGGAATGCAATCCCATTCACAAGTGCCAAAAATAAAATAAAATACTTGAAAATACAGCTAACCAGAGATGTAAAAGATCTCTACAAGGAGAACTACAAAACGCTGCTCAAAAAAATTACAGATGACACAAATGGAAAAACATTTGAAAATTCCTATTAGAAATTTTGAAATATGCAATACATTATTATTAACTGTAGTCACTATGCTGTGCAATAGATCTCGAAAACTAATTTCTACCACCCCTATCCTCTGGTAACTATCATTCTACTCTCTACTTCTATGAGTTCAGCTTATTTCAGATTTAATCTATGAGTGAGATCACACAGAATTTGCCTCTTTGCAACTGGCTTACTTAGCATAATGCCTTTTAGATTTCTTCATGTTGTCTCAAATGAAAATTTTTCTTCTTTTTTTAAGGCTGAATAGTATCCTATCCCATAATTTCTTTATTCATTTATATGTTGACCAGCAGTAAGGTTGCTTCCATCTTAGTTATTGTGAATAATTTTGCACTGAATATAAGAGGGCAGATAACTCTTCAACATACTGATTTCATTTCCTTTGTATATATAGCTAGAAGAGGGATCACTAGATCATATTGTAATTCTATTTTTGCTTTTTTGAGAAATTCCAGCTATTCTTCATATCTCCAGATCCTTTTCTGCCTAACCTTGCCAACACTTATCATCTTTTTTCTTTTTGATAATAGTCATCATAACAATTGTGAGATAATATCTCATGTGGTTGTAATTTTTGTTTGCCCAGTGATTAGAGGTGTTGATCCTTTTTTATATACTTGTTGGCCATATGTATGTGCTCTTTAGAGAAATTCCTATTTAGGCATTTTGCCCCTTTTTAATTGGGTTATTTGGGATTTTTTTTCTATTGAGTTATTTGAGCTCCTTATATATTTTAGATATATAAGGATATCCAAAATATGTATATATAAAGATATATAACTTATCAGATATATGGTTTACAAATATTTCCTCCCAGTCCATAGGTTTTCTCTTCACCCTGTTCATTGTTTCTTTGCTGTGC